AGCCCTAGAAATTATTGGCTGTCTTTGGTAATAGATTGACCATTGCATTCTGGAAGTTGGGATATGTGGATATCTGCATGTGCTTCCTTCGTTTTCCTCTGTAGGCATTTCCCCTCAGATGGAGGTCACATGTGTGCCCACCCCCACAAGCACAGTGTCCTCTCTAGGTAACACAAATGGAGAAGAAGTGGGGCCATCTGTCTACCTGGAAAGACTAAAAATTCTCCGGCAGCGGTGTGGTCTTGACAACACAAAGGTATTGTTCCTTTCTTTCTGTGTGGGGTGGAGAGGAGTGACAAGCTCACCCTCAGCAGAGTGGCCTGACCTTGGTATACACTGCTGAAGTCTCTTGACTGCTTCCCCTGAACTTAGCCAGTGTCTCTCTGTCCTCTCTCAATAGCAAGATGACCGGCCTCCACTGACCTCTTTGCTCTCCAAACCAACAATTCCTCCTCCAGTTGCCTCCTCCACAGACATGCTCAATAGCAAGCTCTCACAGCTACGGGAGTCCCGGGAACAGCACCAGCACTCAGACCTAGATTCCAACCAGACCCACTCTGCAGGAGCCATGACCTCCTCCTCCACAACTAACATTGATGACTTGAAAAAGAGACTGGAGAGAATAAAGAGCAGTCGCAAATGAAGCTGCCCATCCCTCAGCACTCTGCAGCATTAGTTTACTAATCTAGAAGTCCTCTAGTGTGAAGCGGCCACTACAGGCCTCATTGTACACAAACTGGTTGTATGTATCAGACTGCAGATGGGGAAGAGCAGTGGTGGCTCAAGTCTGCACACGCTGTGCTTCTAGAAGCCTGACTGTGGGTTAGGTTCGTGTACAGACTTCTAAACAGCTGCTCCCTCAGCTCAGAGTAGGTTCCATATCTTTTTTTGTTTTGTTTTAATGGCTCATTTGTAAAATTGTCCTAATTTTTCCTAGCTTTCAGCCATTAGAAACTCTTTTAATAGTTCCTTTTGAGTTGTGAGCTCTTCTGTAGCCCTGAAGGGACACTGTATTCTGTATGAATGCATGGCATGAGACAACTAATTTAAGAGTCTTTTATAAATAAAGTTTGCATTAACTATACCCATTTCCCAAAATGCTCTGGGAGCTCTGGACAACTATTTTCTGTCACCTATCTAAGGAAAGCTGGGCCAATTTCTTGGGCCCTGGTAGAGGTAGGTTTATTAATGGCCTGCTGAGGTCTACCTTCTCTAAATCCACAGATCGGAGTTGTAGTTCCATTGAAACAGGAGAGACTTGCTGGCCTGTTGTCCACATGCAGACCCAAGCAGCAGAGAAAGCTCATCTCTCCTTGCTTTTGAGGTATTGGTTTATGACCTTCCTCTGGTCATCCCCAGTTGTTTGGAGGGACATTTATGTATCCTACTGCTTTGCTGTACCAATGACATGAGATTGTTTTCAAGTGTTAGCTTGTGCCAGCAGTTCCCACACCACAAGTGAATTCGGTTCACTGGTGCATCTGGGAGAGCTTGCTGTTTCCTGCCTCAATATCTGAGTCTCTTGGTCCAGACTAATTGCTTCACACTTTGGGTTGAGTGAGTACAAAATGTGAAATGAAGATTCACTTGCAGAAAAATGAAGGATCTTCCTCCTTAATTAGAAAACTGCTTCATGAGTAAAAGGTTCTGGGTTCTAGTGGAGACTCCAGGCAAACTCCAGGACATCTCTAAGGAACTTTCTCATCAAGTCCACCTTCTACTCAGCTGGCATTCCAAGCAATGAAAGATAGAAGGAAAATGTACTCAACCCTGCTTCTTATAGGGAGACCGTGAAGTGGTAAGTATCTATAGCAGGAAAGGTGGAGTTCACTGCTATAGGAGGACACATTTGCAAAGTGGGCTCTAGAATGGGCACTATTTGTCTGAAAACCTAAGTGTTCAAAGTTCATAGCCCTGTCCGTGATGTTGGGAGTGGTATTACAGTGCATTCTTTATTTGGTTTTGTTGTTGTTTTGTTTTTTTCGACACAAGGTCTCTGTGTAGCTTTGGCTGACCTGAAACTCACTCTGTAGACCAGGCTGGCCTTGAACTCACAGAGATTGCTTCCCTCTGTCTCCCTAGTGCTGGGATTAAAGGCGAGTGCCACCACTGTCTACCTTTTGATTTGTTTTTGAGACCAGGTCTCACTATGTGGGTTCCCAGGCCTAGAACTCATTATGTAGACCAGGCTGCCCTGGAACTGTAAAAATCCACCTACCTCTCAGTGCTAGTATGAAAGGAATACACCACCACCAAACCAAGCTACAATATATTCTTAATTGCTTCTCCCTAAAGTCCTTAAATAAAATTTACACTAACTATACCCATTTTCCAAGATGCTCTGTACCTTGGAATGCTAGGCAACTGTTTTGTTACCTATTTAAGAAAAGCTGGGTATTGAGCCCAAGTAGAGGTTATAATCTGCGAGGTAATGTCACTGAGTATGTATGTATGTATGTATGTATGTATGTATGTATGTATGTATGTATGTATGATCAGTCAACCAGAAGCACAGAATAAGCAAGAAACTTTGTCATAATTCTCTGTTCCTTTATATAACTGAATATGAAAACCAATACAATGGTAACAAATACCTATAATCCTAATCCTAGCACTCGGCAGGCTAATCCAGGAGGATCTCAAATCAGAGAGTAGCCTAAGGAATACAAGAAGACTCAGCGGACAGAGAAGGGAGAAGGGCTGGAGTTGAGCTGGTTTGTCTGTCAGGACAGGATCTCACCATGTAACCCTGGCTGCCTGAAACTACTGTGTACACCAAGCTAGCCTCACAGAGATGCACCGGCCTGTCACTATCCTTGGGCCTCCCACTTCTAACCATAGACATTGGTTAAAGCTCTAAAGCTGAAACTGCAAGGGCATGACCTGGTCCCCTACTCCTATCCTACACCTACAGCAGACAGACCTGCAGTCTTCACTCCTGCCTTGGAGCTCAGGGATGCATCTCCTCGACACAGTTCCGCAGTGTCAACAAGTTTCACACCTGCTGAATTTCACATTAGGGGCTGTGGTGCCCACTTAACCATAAACATCCCAGATAGGAATAGTGCTTTAATACTGTAGAGATAGGAGCTTTTTCCATCTCATACCAGTGACCTGTTAACAGTGATCTTGAAGAATGTCCTATGACAGGACATCTTCACAACTTTTAAATTTGTCCATTTACAAACCTATTCAAATATCCTCTACTCTGTTTCCTACAATTTGTGCTAATCTGGTGTTGTATAAGGAGAAATCTGGAAAAACTCCCTCTCCCCAACACAATACATATATCATTACATGGCTTCTGGGGGGACCAAAGGAGGGAGGTAGTGACCATAAAAGGAACTTTAAACATGCCAGGCTGGATGCCAGTCTATTGTTAGATAGTAAGTATTTGTGCTCAGTACACAACAAAAAAGACTTAGTCCTTATAAGTGTTTAAAATTTAGTCCTTATAAACTGTGTCATATGTGTCTTTTAAAATATAAACAGGCCTGGCAGTGGCACATGCCTTTAATCCCAGCACTTGGGAGGCAGAGGCAGGCGGATTTCTGAGTTCAAGGCCAGCCTGGTCTACAGAGTGAGTTCCAGGACAGCCAGGGCTACGCAGAGAAACCCTGTCTCGAAAAACCAAATAAATAAATAAATAAATAAATAAATAAATAAATAAATAAAATAAACAGGCTTAGAAAGGTCAAGTGATTTGAACATAATTAGCCCTTTTAAGTTTGGAGACAGAAGCTGGGCACAGTGGCATAGCGCATGCCTTTAATCCCAGCCCAGAGAAATAAAAGTAGGCAGATCTCTGAGTTCAAGACCAGCCTGATTTATATAGTAAACTCCAGGACAGCCAGAGCTACGTAGTGAGACCACATATACAAGATTAGAGACATAACATCAACTCAGGTCACGTGAGAAGCCTGTGCCCATCATATTTTAATCTCAAAAGTGCTTCAAACATTGAGCCTCTCGGGGGCATACGTGTACTATTTTGATCACATGATAGAAGATGTAGGATGTTATGACTAAAATCTTGGTTGTCATCTGGAATCCACACACGCATATGAGCATGCCTAAAAGAACATTTCTCAGTTGGGTCATTTTAAAATGGGTAATTTCACCCTAAATTTGAGCCACACCTTCTGGTCTAGCTTGCATAAAAGAACCTAGAGAAGGAAGTGTTTTACCTGTCCCCCCACTTTCTCTGGCAAGTTTATTGACCCTGCTCCTGAGGCATACCTTTACTGGCATCAGAACCTGCTGCTTCAAATTCCAGTGTAGAATGAAGACAAGCTGAGATGTAGCCCCATGGAGTAAACAATTACCAGACTCTTGGCCTTTCTGTTCAGAGATACCTATTGCTGGACTAGCTGGACCACAGACTCTTCAGCACTCTAATAAATCTATATCTGTGGTATAAATTATGCACATGCTGGGATTACAGACCAGTATACTATCATAGTCAGGTTTTTTTGTTTTGTTTTGTTTTTTAATAAGACAAGGTTTCTCTGTGTAACCCTGGCCATCCTGGAACTCACTCTGAAGATCAGGCTGGCCCTAAACTGCCTCTGCCTCCTGAGTGCTGGGATTAAAGGTATGTGCCACCACTACCTGGCTCTACATCCAGCTTTGGTGGGTTCTGGGTATCCAAAATCAAGTCATCAGGACTGCACAGGGCTGTACTCACTGAGCCATGTCCTCAGCCCCACAGCTTTGAATTCTAAATGTGTAAATGGATAAGTTACTTCTCCAAATCTGTTTTACTCACCTACCGACCTCCTGTGACGAGCAACACCTTCCTTTTGTGAGGAATAAATGGGATAATGCATCAAGGTTAAGATATGAAACATTCTTAAATGATCACAAACGTAACTTCTGCCTCTCTTCTCAGCTGGCCTGTGCTGGAGACTGGATTATTTGCAGTCCTGTTTGTCTAGCAACATCACCGCCTCTTCCACAGCCCAGTCCAGAGAGTTGTCCATCAACAGCACTGGGCACACTGAGACTTACAATCACTTTTATTGAGAACAGAAACAAACCACAAAAATATTTTGACTGGTTTCTGTGATTCTGCAATGAGGATCCCATATTGAGGGTCCCTCACCCACTCACACACCTATCCAAATTGATCAATGACTTTCTGTATCCACCTTTTCAGACGGAACACGTGTGTGTAGAAGCCATATTTCCCATTCCGGTCACAGCCTTCACCCCATGAAACAATACCCATTTGATACCAGCGGTTGTTATAGGGACTCTGAGGAAGAAAAGTGGGGTTTCCAATAGTCAGGTCCAGGTGCTTTTCTTGAAAACAAATTCCTGGCCCCCAACCTTCCCTGCCTTTGGAAAATACCCTCCAACCCCCTGGCCTTTAGAGAAGCTTACCTTCATAACAAAAGGTCCCCCACTGTCACCTTCACAAGCATCTCCTCTCTTGGTGTCATTCACCTTGAAGCCTTGAGAAAGAACAGCAGGGTTCAGGAGTCACTTCCCTTAAGGAACTGCAGCCACACAGCCTCATTTCCAGACCTCATGGATCTGTCCTTTCCAGCCTCTTCTCACCATCCCCACTCAGGTCAAGTCCCAGCCCTCTCCTGTGCCCAAACCACGCCTTCGAATAAATAGACTACAGCAACACCCAAACCTCAATTTAGTGTACTAAAATGTACATATAATCTACGACATATAGGATGAAGACCAAAGCATATCTTTCAAAAGAACAAGGCAAATCAGTAGAAACACTCCTACCCAGAAACACATGGAAACTAACCAGACCATAGGAAGAAACAAGAAAAAAAAAAAAAAAAAAAAACCTTAGCTAGCAAGACACCATCAGTCAACTACAAAACTATCTGAATGAAATATCACCAAGCAAACTGGTATATTCAGAATAAAGCTTGACTCAAAAATCTAAAAATGAAAATTTTAAAAATGAGGTGCCATTGAGCTGGGTGGTGGTGGCGCATGCCTTTAATCCCAGTGCTTGGGAGGCAGAGGCAGGTGGGTTTCTGAGTTCCAGGCCAGCCTGGTCTACAGAGTGAGTTCTAGGACAGCCAGGTCTACACAGAGAAACCCTGTATGGGGTGGGGGGGCACAAACCAAAAAATGAGATGCCGTGGTATGTGCTTATAAAAGTCAACTATTTAAAGGTTGGAGCCAGGAGGATTCATTTAAGATCATCCTCAGTTACATGGTGAGTTTGAGGCTAGCCTGGAGTGCAATGAGACTGTCCCAAAAGATGGGAAATAAATGAACAGGAAGTGGGAGAAAGTAAAAGTCTAAGGAGGTTAAAGATTGAGCATGGATGTGCCCATCTATAATCAGGAGGCTGAAGTGGCACTGTCACATTCCAAGACCAGCCTGTGCTGTACACTGGTAGAGTGCTTGCCTAGCATGCATGAAGCCATTAGATCCCCAGTACCTCAAACTGAATAATCTTGGGAATGATGGCACAAGCCTGTAATCTTAGCACTGGATGGGCAGGAATGGGGAAAGCAGAAGCATCAGAAGTTCAAGGTTATCAAGTACCTAGTGAATTCAAGCCTAGGTTACATGAGACCATGTCTTCTTTGAGACCATGTCTTAAAAAGAAAAAAAGCCACACAGCAGGAAAGAGGAAAGAAGGAAGGGAAGGAAGGAAGGAAGTGGCATCTTGAAAAAGTATAAGACCAAAGGAAAGATAAGCACTAAAGCAAAATGTAAACTCTCCTAAATACATAACTTTTTTTTAAAGCAAACATAACACAAGGAAAGTAAGATGGCAAATGAAACAATAATTACAAAATAATGAGTTAATAAAAATCAACTCCATAAAAACCACAATCTTAATCACAATTATTTATTAACATGCCAAAATACACAGGGACCCTTAAGTCTAAAATCTTAAGACTTAGCTAGGATTGAGATACAGTTTAGTGTTAGAGCAGTTGCCTAGCTCAAGGCCCAGGTTCAATCTGCAACACCACGGTAATAATAAAGTTGGGATTTTGTTTTACGTAAGCCAAGCACACTCAGGAGGCTGAGGCAGGGGTATTGTAAATTGTGGCCAGCCTAAGCTATGTAGTAAAACCCAATCTCAGAGGAAAAAAAAAATTGAAAAATAGTTACTAAACAACTCAGAGCCATGCATGGCTTTAATATAAGCACAGACAAATCTCTGAGTTCAGTGCCAGCCAAGACTACATAATGAAACTTTTTCTCAATAAATAAATATGGAGAGTGAGTGGGGAAGACACCCAACTTCAACCTCTGTACTCCACACATACTCACATATGTGTGAACCCACATCAACACATACATATTCCATATTCAAACACAGACACAACATATAAAAGATAAGAGTAGCCAGGCGGTGGGGGTGCACACCTTTAATCCCAGCACTTGGGAGGCAGAGGCAGGTGGATTTCTGAGTTTGAGGACAGCCAGAACTGCACAGAGAAACCCTGTCTCGAAAAACAAAACGAACAAACAAACAAAAAAAGAGTAGGAGTTAATGTTACAGGAGAGAAAAATAATAGGTGTAAGTATTTAACAAGTCAAATTCTTAGTCTTTGGGGAGATGCAGGAAAACTTTCTAACTCAAAAAGAGTATGAGATAAAACACAAAAATAGAAAGTAAGGGGCTGCAGAACAGAAAAGGTCATAGAAGACACCCCAGCATTCCAGAAAGCTACCCAAGAAGACCCACGAAGATGGGAAGCCTCTAGCACTAAAGTAAAGAAACACTTTGGTCCTTATTTTAAATGGAATTATAGTCAACACAAATTTTTTTTTTTCGAGACAGGGTTTCTTTGTGTAGCCCTGGCTGTCCTGGAACTCACTCTGTAGACCAAGCTAGCCTCGAACTCTCAAACTCAGAAATCCGCCTGCCTCTGCCTCCCAAGTGCTGGGATTAAAGGCGTGCACCACCACCACCTGGCTCACAAAATGTTTTATGAACATAGTGCAATCCCAACAAAAATATCAAGATGCTCTTACTTGTTAGCTTGAATTTTGTTTTGTTGTTTGAGACAGAGTCGTTCTCTCTGTGTAGTTCTGGCTGCCCAATAGCTTAAGAGATCCCCCTTGCCTCTGCCTCCAGAGAGGTCTACTGTAGCCCAGATGATCCTCTAGTCTGACATGATGCTCCTGCCTCCACTCCCTGAGTACTGATGTTGCAGATATTACCACTACACCTGGCCCTCTTCTCTCACCTCATCCCCCTTGGGATGGCTGAGTTTACTGCTCTCCAACCCCACAGGCCTCCCTGCTGTTCTTCAGGCCAACCAAGTGTTTGCCCACCTCAGGACCCCTGCACCAGTGTCTGTCCCCAAAGCCAAGTACCTCTGTGTCTGACTCCTCATCCACTTCTTCTAGTCTCTGCTTAACCTGCTTGAGAAAAGGCCGCCTCCAGCCCCTCTGACCACTGGGTTTAGTTGACTTGTCCCCTACAGTCTCCCTCACTCTGCTCTTTCCCCAGAGCTATTATCAACAATAGGTGCTCTAAGCCAGATGGTGGTGGCGCTTGCCTTTAAGCCCAGAACTTGGGAGGCAGAGGCAGGTGGATTTCTGAGTTCAAGAGTTCGAGGCTAGCCTGGTCTACAGAGTGAGTTCCAGGACAGCCAGGGCTACACAAAGAAACCCTGTCTCAAAAAACCAAACCAAAAAAAAAAAAAAAAAAAAAAGAATAGGTGCTTTAGATATGTTTATTGGCATGCCCCCCTCTAGGAAGGCAGCTTCCTCAGGACCACCTGTTTGGGTCCCTGCTGTGTACCCCAAAATGCTGTCTGGGACACAATAGGCATTCAAAAAATGTGTGCTGAGTGGCTAAATGGATGCTCTTTCCGTACCCAGGGCCTTTGCTGAGCTAGATATTTTGAGCAAGTATTAATGCCTCTCTCTCTCTCTCTCTCTCTCCCTCTCCCTCTCCCTCTCCCTCTCCCTCTCCCTCTCCCTCTCCCTCTCCTTCTCCCTCTCTCTCCCCCCTCTCACTCCCCCTCCCTCTCTCTCTCTCCCTCCCTCTCTCTCCCCCTCTCTCTTCCTCCTCCCTCTCCCCTCTCTCCCTCTCCCTCCCCATCCCCCCTCTCCGCCCCCCCCCCC